TTTGTTTGTTTTTTTGGTCTTGGTAAACATGTCCATCATACCACTTTGGTCAGTTCAGCGTCTCACAGGTGCTCAGCTCACTGGACTGAAAGGACCACAGGCTTCCAGAAGAACAAACAACTCTTTCTCGGAAGAAGTGCAGCCGGGATATTCCTTAGAAGGGAGGATGCCAAGGCTCTAGACACGTGAGAAGGCCATTGTCACGCTTGGCAGAGGGCCAGGGAAGGCAAGCCGCCCTCGGCAGGTGGGCTGGCACAGGGGCTACAGCAGCTACACAGGGGACACCTGCATGAATGGCACAGGACTGGGCAGGTTTTGTTCTGTCACCCCGGGGCAGGGGTGGGGTGGGGTGGGGGGAGAGCGGGCACTGTTAGGGGTCGGGACAGACCCAACAACACTGAATAACAACGACACCTTACTGGATCAGTGGTCTTGATTCCTCATTGCCCTTAAAGGTCTCTAAGGAGCCCTGTGACACCCCTCCCCATCCAGGGAGCAGGGGGACAACTCTGCTCTGGGCTCCATCTCCAAGCCTGCTCGCAGGCTATGAGGGCATGGCCTCCGTCTCATGGGGGACAGGCCTGTGTCCCCCTCCGGCCGCACCACGCCCAGCACCAAGCATCAGCTCTCACTCTGGGCTCGGCACCAAGGGCCCCACTGGGCAGGGCCAGCGAGACCAGCAGGTGAGGGACGTGGTAGAGGAGGTTTGGGCATGGGGACCTCAGTGGGAGGACGAGGGCCCCAAGGGGGAGGTGACCACTGGAAATTAGCATGTTTGGGGCAGTTCCGGATAGAAGGTCAAGCACAGGGCAGTCAAGGAGGGGTGGGGCATTCCAGAACTGACCAGATCTTAGGAGAACAGATTTGACTTGGGTAGGGAGGGCCGTGGGGGCTGAGTCACAGCTTTTAGGAATCCCAGGCTTCCAGCCTGCACCATCTGGAGAAAAGATTCTGAGCAAAAAGAGTCGTGCACGGCCGGACGGCAGGGTGGGTGCAGAGTGGACATGGTGGTGAGCTGCTGGGCAGCAGGGTGGCCGCAGCCATGCAGAGACCGCAGGACACCAAAGGAAGGGCAGTGGCGACATGGAAGAGGGGCTGGGTGACTCCCAAGTCCCCGGGTCAATGGCCTTCTCTGCGATGTGGCCCACTGAAGAGGGCACTCCAGACCAGAGAGGCACAAGGAGATGGTGCGGTGTCATGTGTGAGGTGCCCACGTGACATCCAGAGAGGGTTGGGGCACTGCTGGAAATTAAGAAAGGGGTCTGGACAGGTCGTGGCTCCTCGAGTCAGGCACAGTGGTGGTGCTGGACCCTGGAGGCTGGGCAGGTCCTCAAAGACAGAGGAGCAGCTGGATGAGGGTCAAGGGAAGAGGACGAGGAGGGAGGGGCAGGAGAATTGGGAGAGAAGGAAAAAGAGAGGGCTTCCGGGGGACACGGACAGGGAAGCCCCAGAATCAGGCAGGACATCCAAGGGTCTGTATCACAGAGCCTGGAGGCCCTGGGCAGGCCCAGACCCACACCTGGGCCTACTGCTGAGACCGGTCAACTGTGCTGAGGCAGCAGCTCCAGGCGGGACCCCAAGTCTGTGAGTTGCAGGGTGTGGCTGAGAAGGAGGGACAAAGACCCAGACCTCGAGGTGCTGTGAGCCCCTCAGAGTGTGAGCCAAGGCGGTGGCAGAAGGGGCCCAGGGGGGAGTGACAGAGCCAGACGCAAGGTGACCCGTCACCTCCTACAGCAGGCCCCTCTTCTGGTGGGCTCAGATGGGCAGCCCTGCGGGGACAGGACAGCGCCCGAGGTAAGTGGACTGCACGGACACTCCTTACCGCTGATGGTGATGGTCCCCGTGGTTTGCGGGACCCCAACGAGCGTCACTGGGTAGAGACCAGACTCGGCCGGCAGGGACAGCGCCGCGGGCAGGGACTCGAAGTCCACTCCACTGGTGAGCAGCCCCTATGGCAGGAAGGACACAGATTGAGGTGTGGGCAGGTGGGGCCTCCACAGGCACTGGGACCCACTGGATGGCAGTGCTTGGGGTGGGTTGGTTTTGATTGGGTGTTACTTTCAGACCGGATGAAGACAACAGCTCCTTCCAGGGGACACGGCGTGCAGGAAAGAGCCATGGGCACACGATACGGGAGGCCAGGTCAGGAAGACTGCTCCCCGTTTCAGCAGAGGAGCAGGAAGCGCTAGGAGGGCCTGGGCCGAGCTGGACCGTGGGTGCAGGGGTGAGGTCTCTGTGGGCAGGGAGGCCAGGTGCATGCTGCACTGAGATGAGCCAGTACTTGGGGATCAGAGCTGGTGATGTTTCCTTCATGATCTACTGGGCTTCCATTTGCTCATCGTGGCAGCAGCTCGCTCACCATCTCTCCCCTCCATGTGGGAAAGCCACACACAGCAAGCAGGACTGACCCAGGAGGGCACGCTGCAGAGCCGTGTGGCACCCAAAGACCAGGCTGGCCCGTGGAGTGGGTGCTGGGGGACCCTGAGAAGGCGGCCCCCAGACACCCTCAAGCCTGGGACAAAATGAACCCCACCCTGTGGCTCATCCCCCTGAGGGCAGACAGGCCTGTGAGGTGAGCAGCCGCCCAGGGTGCACGCTCTGAGACCGGCCCTAGGAAACCCCTCGGGCAACAAACACGTGCGTGGGGACACCAGGGAGGCAGGAAGGGAGGGAAGAAACCCTGCAAGGCTTTCCAAAATGACATTTTCACAGGAGCAGCCTCATCTCTCTCCCAATGAATGGGTTTGAACCGCTGACCTGGAGGCTAAGCCTGGTGATGCCTAACCCACAGTGTCACCAGGGCTCCTTAAAGCACTTCCAAAAGCACACAGGGAGAACAGCACTTTTCCAAAGGCTTTTCCAGCCCCTCTTGGGAGGGGGGAGTAGTGCTGGGGCAATCCGCACACCATCGGTGGGTGGCCAGGTGCAGCCTGCTGCTTACTCAGCACACAAGCCGTAAAAACCAATGGGAGACGGCCGGCTGCCCAGGCACTATCCTGAGCCGAGCCTGAGGAGCAGCCGGGCAGGACTGGGCGTTAGGAAAGGGCCTGCCCCGCCTGCTGGGTGGCAGATCTGCTGGGCTCAGAGCAGGGCAGTTCTGAGCGGAGGGTGCTCCCAGGCAGTGAGTCTGTCAGCAAAGACCCACAGGGACCTGGGCCAGAGTCACACAGTCTATCTGCCCTCTGTGCTTGCACCGCAGCCAGCCTCTCCCACCCCCCACCCTGAGCACCTCATTTCTTGCAGCCGTAGAAAGGTGCTGGCTTTCCTGGAAACAGGCAGTGAGCAGACCTCACCCATCTCCAAGTCCTCTAGCCGAGGCGCCCTGGTGGCGCCGTGGGTTAAGCTAGCCACAATGTCAGTGGTCAAACCCCACTGAGAGCCCTGGGGGAGAAAGATGAAGCGGTCAGCCTCGGAAACCCTATGGCGGGCACCTTGGGGTCAGCTTCCTTGGTTTCAGGGTTCAGTGGGAAGTTTTGCTGCTCACCAGCTGGCTGAGCACTGTGTGGCGGGAGTCCACGGCCAGGAGCCACAGGGCGTGGCCACAGCCACAGCGCGCGTGTGCACGAGAATGGACAGGGGCATGTGGCGCACTAGGCGGCCCTCCCGTCGCCAGTGGGTCAGGAGGCCGGTGACACGTACCATGTTCTCGACTCGGAGTTCAAAGGGCATGGGGTTGTAGACCATCAGCTGGACCTCACAGACGTCGCCCTGCACCCACTGGAAGTCTAGTCGAGAGACAGAGAAGCCACGGTCAGCCAGGACTGCACCCGCTCCCCTGGCTTCACTTGACATCCTGACAGAGCAGCTGCAGGGACAGCCCCCACAAACATGCACAAGACACCCCTCCAGGGATGGGAAGCGACAGGCTCCCGAGCCGATAGGCGGTGCTCACACGCTGAGGGGCACGCTGCCAAGCCAGGCGCCAGGGCCCTTGGGCATCCGTCACACGGCACGCACGTGGCAGGGGGTGGGGTGAGGGGACAGAGCTTCTGTGACTGCTCACTGGGAAGCCTGCGTCACCCACTGGCCTCTGTCTCCATCCAGGGGCAGGGTCCTCAGAGTAGGGGAAAGGGGCATCGCGTCATGGGGGGTCAGGTGAGGGGTCATGAGGTCATAAGAGCAGGGCACGGAGCAGAGGCCAGGAGGCCCCAAAGGCAGGCACGGGAGGCCACATGGCCCTGACTCCGTGGTCAGCATTCTGCCGAGCTTGCCTAGAAAGCTCCGCTGGTTTTCTGGAAGGGGCCCCCCACATGGCACAGTGGGCTCTGAAGGAGGGGCCCCCACCTCTGCTCCCACGCTGGGGGAAGGGACTCAGCCGGCAGCAGGGAGGGCACTGAGAGCAGGAGTAGAAATAAAGGGCTGGGTGCTCCTCGGGGCTCTCCCAAGAGGGAGGTGGCCATCACAGCCGGCCTTTGTGTCACATGACCCCTGTAAACTCCATTTTAGGTTCAAATATGGGGTGGGGGGGCCTCAGGGGAGGTGTCTCCCAGTCAGGCTCCTAGGGAGGACCCCAGAGGCAGAGTGGATGGCAGAGTGGGGAGGCCTGCCCCCAGGATGGAGCTGAGCAGGTCGGGAGAGCTTCGCACTTAGACCAGCAGTTCTCAACCTGTGGGTCAAATGACCCTTCCACAGGGGCCGCCCAATTCACAACAGTAGCAAAATGACAGTGATGAAGTAGCAACGAAAATAATGTTATGGTTGTGGGGGGGTGACCACCACATGAGGAACTGTATGAAAGGGCCATGGCATTAGGAAGGTTGAGAACCACTGACTTAGATGAACCCAGAACTGAGAACGGGGCACACACAGGTTGGGGTCTTCTCCCAATGCCCTTTCCTCGCTCCTTGATGGGCACCGGGCACTGGGCGCCTGCACACTGCTGAGCAAAGGAGGACCACTCTCGAGAGGAGAAGGCAGTGAGTGCCCTGGCCACGCCCACCACCCCCGTCCTGAGCTGAGCCCATGGTTCTGCCTCTCCTGGATGACCAGGCAGCCACCGCAGTCTGCCACCCTGCTGTGGGCTGAGTGAGCCTCTCAACCCCACTAGAACCCTGTTCTATGCGCCCAACCCAAGGAACATGGGAGTGTGTCCAATTATAGATCTCCCGCTCATTAGCGACCGCACCCCCTCTGACAGCTGCATTTACACAGGGAGAAGCCCCAGTGCCGACAGCTCTGCACATGGCCTGAGTCGCAGCAATAAGCACAGGTCCGAGAAGAGGTGGCTGGGAGCTCAGGGGGCAGAGGGGGGTCAGGCGTGGCTGGGCCCTGCTTCTGGATGGAGTGGCAGCCATGTGATGATGGGTGTAGCCGTTGTAAAGGTGTCATCGCGTCCTGCAC